ACCTGAAGCGGTTATCCTGCGTACGCGCTATGGCCCCCGGCCCATGTCCATTCATTCTTCTTGATTTCAACTACGATATCCTTAACGCCGCTTTGTTCCCTGATCCATTCTGCTCTCTTCTTAGTACTACTTAGTACCTAGTACTAGTATCTTAATACTTAGAACTACTATATAAAACTTTCAAAGGTTTGGAATTACATGTACAATGGTACAAATGAGCTGGGTCGAACACCAGCTCTGCTGATGGACCCAGCCTAGCGCCACTCGTTCAATCTGTGCACTATATTTCACACTCTCTCTCTCTTTCAGCGCTAGCGCAGCACTATCAGTGTCTCTACCATAATTCACCTTCCAGCCAACGAAACAAAAGGATCGTTGAGAGAGTGGGGAGAGGGTTTTCAACGCCGAGCAATTAGGGAGGGAGGGGGAGGGGGCAGGCTGCTGTACACTGTCGTCATCGCTTGGGGTAACACCAACAAAACCTCAAGTAGCAGCAGTAGCACACAGAGCACACGCTCGCGGCAAAAAGATGTATCCTTTTTCTTGTTATTCGAGCTTCTTGACGATGATCTTATTAATTATTAGATCGCGCTAGAAAACACGAGGCCATAAGAAGACAAGCGCTGTCTTCTTCCTGTGCCCTCGTGGTTTTGCGCCGCTTTACTAACAACGCAGTACCAACTAGGTCGGCTTCCGTATTATTGATGACATTTGGTGCAGGGGCCCTCTAAATAAAGCTCCACGTAAATATTGAAAACAATAGGAAGCGAGAAAATGAAAGAGAAAAAACGAAGGAAAAAAGAAATAAACAGCAGGAAAAGAAATAAACTGCAAAAAAGACGGAAAGGAATGAATATTAAAAAAAGAAAGAGAGAAGGAAAGAAATAGGATACCAAAGAGAAACAAAAAAGACTGACTTGCTGAGCACTTTCTACATGCTTGGAATCACCAGGGCACTAAGCTGCCTCTTTTTTTTTTTTCTTTAGAGGAATATACCAACCGGCCCAAATGCATGCGGGCATGCATTGGGGATGTGAAATTCATTGGCGTGGATACGGAAACGAAAACAACAAAGCCGGAGCTGATCACACTAAGATGGAAGCAAATTGGGAGGTTGAATCACGGGGTGAAAGCGACAGGGATGATGAAATGCTGCGTGAGGAGTAACAAAGGGACGCTCGAAACTTAATGTGGCGAAAATGAGTCTTTCTTTTTTTTCCTGGGGTGGGTGGCGGGGGGAGTCGTAAGGGTCAAGCAAGTGACGCAGGAAAACAAAAATGAAGGTGACACTTCGTAGCAACCGCACAACAACAGAAAAAAACAAATTTGTAGACGGAATAAGGAAAGAAAAAAGTAACCATGCGTGGAAAGTCTACAGTGAGTAGAAAAAGAGAACGACTATACTCGTGGGCAACCTTTCTTGGCAATGAAGGGAAAGCTGCGAGGGCGGAGCTACTGCACATGTACTCCTCCGAGAAGTAGTCCGGTTTGGCTATAGTGTTTCGAATGACGGTCGCGTTCGAACAAACTGCTGAGTCTGCCTCGACAGCCATCTGCGAGTGAAATTCGTCACAAGCTTCATCGGCGAGTCTTCGGAACAGCTACAGAGGGCGAGGAGATTTCACCTAAATACAAAAACACCATTTCGACAGTAAGGTCCTCGTAAAAGGTGCGACGTTTTCAGGCGAGCAAAAACTTCGTAATTACTTTGCATAAAATAAAACAAATATATATATATATATTTGGTGCGTGCTGCGTCCCTATATAAACAGCATCCCATAGAAAATAAAGCAATATTGGTCTTTTAATCTTCAGGCGAAAAACACGGACGCAAATGTGGAAATATATTTTGTAGCGGTGGCACACCCCCACTTTAGCACCGTATAGCCTTCCCTTCGTTGTTAAGGAAAGTTGCCCGCAGGTACAGGTTCCCTAAAAAAATAGAACGGCTGTTGGGGTAGGGGAGAGGGTGTTAGAGATTCTGAGGTGAATACAGCTAACGAAAACGCGAGGCGATCGTTGCAGCCATTAAACAAAAAAAAACAAAGCGCGGCACGGGGACGTAGAAGGAGAAAAGAAAAAACGCAAGGTCTGCGCGGAAGGCGCAGCACAGTCACAGCGAAAGCTAGAAGAGCCGGGCCTTTCGGAGCCTTTTCAAAACACTTGCTTGCTTGTTTGCTCGATCCTTTCTTGTGGCTCTTAACCACTAAGGGGGATTGGCGGTTAATGCAAGTCAATACCTTATGATTATCCAGGCTAAGGTAATATGGTTACTTTCTTTTGACTTGACGGGATTATTTTGGCACAATGTGAAAAAAAGCGAAATGAAGGAAATAATAAGGTTTCTTGAATAAATAACGTGTAATCATCATATGAAATTCTTTTGAAGATTAAGTCATTACAATGTAAATACTACTACTACTACTACTACTACTACTACTACTACTACTACTACTACTACTACTACTACTACTACAACGACGACGACGACGACGACGACGACCCCGGATAGAATAACACAGTTTCGCACTAAAAACCAATGTGACCGTGATAGTTCCACAATACAGGATAAACTAATTCAGGAGATACAAGCCTAGACTATAAAAAAATTTTGGGGGGTCTTCCACTCTGCTGGTCTTCTTGAACCCGAGCCCCCGATTCGACTACGCAGGGGTCAATAAACTGTATATTGCGACGTCAAAATGGGAGAAAAAAAGCGTTAAAAATTGTTTTCACACTGTCGCTTGCTTTTTTTTTTCGCTACACACCTCTATCTGCTTTTTTTTAAAAAAATCTGTTACCTCATGATGTCTCTGCGGAGTGGACTATCCCAAAGTATTTGTTTGGATAGGTCCTAACATACGGGAGCTGTTCATTTCTAGTAAGCAAATACCACCTCAATTGCGAGCCCTGCCTTTGCGACAGAGTTTCCCGGGCCATCCGGGTTCCCCTACGGGGCCTGGATGCATGCTCCTTGAAGTTTGGGTGCGTCAACCTGGCATAGAATGCACTGTAGCATCTCTCAATGCCATCATCTTTCGTTGCATTCATATCTGTTATGCATCGCCCTTTCCGCTCTACGGCAACGCACAAACAAAAGCACCAGTGACACGTCCACGAGAAAGAAGACCGATCACACACCACGGACAGTGAGATCAGAAAGATTCGCGCGAAAAACGGGTTTGAAAATAACGCCCCAGTTAAAAATAGGGAGTGCGATAGCGGGGTGAAGGAAAAAATAGGGAGGCCTCCTTGGAGAACGGCGCCACTCCTACGCCTTCGGAGTTGAGAAGTGAAATGAGCCTGAGCGACAGCCCGAGAGACCAGGGCGCGTGGGGATGGCAAAAGCAAGAAGCGAGGGAGCAGGTTAGGGAAAAGTGAGGGAAAGGAAGCGGAGATGTCTCAAGATGGCGCGCGCCTCACCGAAGCGGCGGCGCTACAGTCGGCATCAGCGGACGAGCCGATGACGGCGCAGCGGCGACGGCCTCCGCAGCTCCACATCGGAGGAGAGCGCTCAGCATCTCCCTACTCCCTCTTCCGCATCTTCCTCCGATCCAACTGCGCGCGGGAAACACATGCGAAGAGAAAAAAACACACCCCCGCCAGGGCGCGACTCTAGCTCCGCATTCAGACGCCACCCGAACGGCGGCAATGGTTCCGTCCCAGCGTCCAGAAACCCCCTTTCCCCTTTTTCGCAAGTGCACCCACCCACCTTGGGCCGTCTGCCTTCGCCGCTGGGAAGAGATGGGAAGAAAGGGGGTCGCACGGCTTCCTGAGCCTTTTCGTCTCATTCCTTCTCGGTAAAAAGATCCCCAACGCAATCGCCTCCCACTTCCCGTTCTCCCCTATCCATTTCCCTCCCCGTTTAGGGAAGAGAGAAAGAAAGGAACAGGGTAGCAGTGAGGATGCGTTACGCCACCGCCTCTTTTCCACCACTACAACACCCTCACCCACGATCCCTAGCCACCACCCGCATTCATCGGGAAAGGGAACAACGGGAGAAGGGCCTTGCTCCCAACGAGCCTCTTCCAAACTCTCTCCCCGCATCCCCATCCCTTTCCTCGGACCAGTGGCGCGTTCATTCGGAGGGTTCCTCTGCAGATCGGGCCTCTTGCCGTCGCACCGAAAAAAGCAACAAAAAAGAGTTGAACGAAGCAGAGGAGAAGTGGGAGGGAAAGGGACACGGGACGCAACGCCGCTGCCGGGAGAGCGCGCGCTCTGCCTGCCGACGGACGTCGTAGTGTGGCACGGGCGGTTGCCGACGAGTGCGCGTGTAGTGCGGTGATTCACGGTTCCCTTCTTCTTCTCTACCCCGTGCGCCAACCGGGACGCCGGTTCGTCGCGGGAGTCGTTTCGTCGACCACGTAACGCGGGCTCGCGCTGGAAGCGCCGAGACTCGGCGCCAGTGTTGTCCGCGAGTGCCCGTTGTTTTCGGCGGTCGTGCCGTCCGTTCCGGCCGTGCTCCTCCCAGTGCCTGTTCTTTCTCTTCCCGGCTTCTACATACGCGGGAACCAGGAGTGCGACGAGCACGAAAGCGACACCGGTGTCTGCGGTTCATGTGTCGCGGGTGCCGAATTCCGCATCAGCTCTCGCTGAACCTTTCGCCTATTCACTTACAAGTAAAGTTTATAAGAGTCGTCGTACGAAAGGAGCTCGTTGAACACATCGAGGCAAAAGCCGGGACCTCTGAATTTTCGTGTCTTCTTTTTTTTCGTGAGATCGTGTTCTGTCCGTCTCCTCAAGGTCAGAACAGAGATGGTGAAGGGCTGAGCCCATTAACTATTGCGACAGTTCGCATTTAGAAAGCATAGTAGATCTACACCGGATGGTTTTTTCCCCCACTGTGGATAATCGAGTTCTTCCATCGGCTAAATTAAGTGCGGTCCCAAAACAAACCAAACGGTGATCGTCAACTCTCCTCTTCTTTCGGATCTTCGGCAGCGTCACATGGGATTAAGGATGATCCAGAGTTAACGAATTAAGGAGACGTCCGTACTCACCTTAAGGATGCTGGCACCACCGCTGAGACCCAGGGACTCCCAAAAGGACACCACGGCCTGACTTTCGGCGTATCTGCGAAAGATTGCAAAGGGTGGAGTATATATAAGAACCCAGTCGGAGGGAGCTGCGTTTTGATCCCTTCACCTTTTATTTCTTTTTTTTTTTTTCTTATCCCCAAGTGTGCGGTGGATCTCACCGATATTCGAACCATCTCGCGTAACTCTACCCCATTCGTGTGAAAACAAAATTTTAACCACCGCGTGTATGTGTGCCTGTGTTGACGTGCGCGCTCCCGTTGGTGATAATTCCACAACGTAATTTGCAGACGAGGCGTCCGATGTGGATGTTAAACACTGACTTACTACTCGACAAGAGTGCACCTCGATGCCCCGTTTGACTAGAACTTCATTCATCGCAGATTCAACGTGTGGGTGACCCAGGGACAAGTGTTCTTGTTCATCGTTTTCCCGTTCATCATTGCTCGTTCATCGTTTTCCTCTTCGCAATCGTCATCGGGCCACTACAGCTGCTCTTGTGTTGTTGTTGTTGGGAGGATTATCGCATCGAGAGGATTAATCGTGCAACCCGAACGACGTCCACTGCTTGGCAGGAACGGCACAACCCGACTTTTTCCCGGTCCAGTCGACCCAGAAACAACTTCGTGAAGCTGGCCACATCCAAGAACGGTGAGCAGTTCACTAACCATTATTGGGCCGGATTTTTTTTATCTCTTTCTGTAGAAACCGGGAAGCCTTTAGGAGCTTCTGCCGAGCGATACTGCTATTAGGCGCATATTTGCTCGAAATAATCTTCTCGCTTGAACGTCGTCAAAGGCACAACATAAGAACTAACAAGAGCCAAGAAGCACAGGGAAAACTAATCCTGAATCGCATTGAATAACGCTCCGCGCCTTCATTTATTTCTTGATTTTTTTTCCTGTTTACTTGTTGGAGACTGTCTCAGAACGCTAAGCGTACGTACAGAACAGGAGGCAGCCGGGAAAGGGAATGTCCCTCCTCCTAATTACCTCGTTTCTGCTCTGCGTACTGATTTTGAGGGCCTCAGTGGCAGGGTTGGGAGAAAGGGACGCTGTCGTGAAGCTTTACTTACTCAGCTCCCACCCACCCACTCTCCTTTTTCCCATTGAAAACCCTGCGTGCACACGGTCACAGGAGTCCGAGGACGGGGCACCACTTGCGAGAGCTCTTGTCGCTGGCGAAGTATCTTACGTAAGTATAAGAGTGTTGTTTTCACTGATGGAGGACTACTGCGCGTCTAAAGCTTACCGAAACCACGTCATCCCGACCGTGACAAAGCTGGCTAGGTGACAGCCGGACGGGCAATTTAAGACTGCTTTCCGCGAGTACGTAACAGCGCATTACGAAAGAGGTGGCATTAACCGAGTGCGACAAAATAATGTCACACACGTCCCCCCTTCACCCTTTTTCGGTCCTTTGTGGTCCGTAACCGTAAATTACGACAGGCTTTGGATGTAGCCGAAGAACGCACACAAATGGAAGTTCGATCAGAATGTCGCAACAATGTCGCACAACTGTGAGCGTTTATATAGCGCATATACGTTAAGCTCTCTAGGTCTACAAGTCCTTTAACAGGCAAGCCGGGATGTGGTGCGGATTACTAACGCATGTTCATTAAAAGAAAGAAAGAAAAAGAAAGAAAGGAAGAAAGAAACGGACGACAGACAGACAGACAGACAGACAGACGGACAGACAGACAGACAGACGGACGGACGGACGGACGGACAGACGGGCGGACGGGCGGACAGACGGGCGGACGGACGGACGGACGGACAAACAGACAGACCGCGAGGCTCCGCAGTAGCTTCGTACTAGAAGCGAGAGCACCAAAGCTTTTTTTTTTTTTCACCAGTCAGCAAAATAGATTCAGCAAGCGCAAAAGGTTAAACGCCAGGAATAAGGTCCTACTTTCTTAGGTGCGCGTATGCGGAGCATCTCGCCACACGCGAAACCCGCCTTTCCGCCGTGCTGTGTGTGTGGCTTATAGAAACAAGGGCGTCAGCTCAGTACTGCATACCAGAGTGCGTTACGCTATACGCTAAAACGGCAGCATGCATCGAATTCCACGCGTGGAAGACAACGGGTAGACGGGGGGGGGGGGGGGGGAAGGCTGGGACGGAGAAAATAGTTGCCATGGAGGGAGGTTCTCACCGCCAAGACGGGAACGCGTGGGGTCTCAACAGAGGCGCCGGCTGTGGTTATATATAGACGTACGTCAAGCGCTGTAGGTCGCAAGGATAGAGAAACAAACAAACAAACAAAACAGCCGGAGAAGCTACTAGGCAGTAAGGCATGCCACTGTGTAGAAACGCGGTATGCTGGGGAGGGGGGGAGGCAGCTTTTGTTCGCAGTACTGTGGAAGCTACAGAAACTAAACTCATTCCTGCTAGTGCACCAACAAAGAAAACCTGAGGTTATTGATAACTTTCTCATTAAATAAAGCTCATCATGAGACTCAACCAACTACAGGAAAACTGAATCAGTGTTCACTGTCCACTTTGCACGAATGTCTGATTTCTTTGCCATTTTTTTTATATATATAGAACGTCTCGGTTCGTGCACGACTGCCTCGTTAAGTAAACGTGTCGTACATGACGTATGTGGGTCAGTGAGCAGCCGGAAACTCGCCGTCCAGTTCTCTAAGTGAAATCCGCTGTCAATGTGACACTGATATGTGCATTGCCCAAGGTTCTACGAAAACTCGACAGATGAAGAGGTGTTCATTGAAGAATTATAGTAGGCACTCGCCTTGTTCGAAGATTTTGTTTGTTTATTTTTGCTTGACAAAAAGCGAGTGCCTCTTTTCATTCAATGAAATGTACATTGAATAACCAAAACGTCTCTCTATCATCAACATTTTCCGTGTGTATGTTTTTTTTACCGCGTTCAACAGTGCGAACGAGCGAAACCAAAACCAGCTGCAAGCTGCCTTACCACTAGCGGAGAAACGAGAGCGTGCGGAATCCCCGCCTGCGTAGCTTTCGCTCGACTTGTCAAGATGGGCTGCCCCTGAAGCCTGCCGTCAAAATAAGATGATACGTGCGGGAAACCTCAGTGACCAACAAAAAAAAGAGAACGAACAGCGAAAGCAACCGTAGAGTTGAGCACGGTGAAATAAGCAGTACGTCAAGGTGGCACACCATGGTATACATGGTGTCGGAACACGCTAGAAACGAAAAAAAGGTATTAGTACCGTGACGTCGATATAACGGGGAGCGCGAGACAAATATGTGAGTGCTAGAGCAGGCTACGTAAATTACCAGCTAAGAGACAGGCCACAGGGACGCGATATTAAAGTAGGCCAGCAAGCAAAGACGTGGAAGCAGACGGGCCTTACGGGAGGCCGGACGTCAAAACAGCATAGCTACGTCGAAACGGAGCACGCAACGGATTTGAAATGAAGTTCAAAGACAGACGACGTACTACTGCAAGCAAGAGAGGAGGCGAAATACAGGATGACAAGCCCATATAGAACGTAATGATGACGATGCTTAGTGAAGTTTTGTGGTGCAAGAGCCATGGGTGGCCAAAGAGCGCCATGCCTTTGATGCGATGTAAGCAATGACCAGTGATTGCAATGGCAGGGTGTAATACGGGTGCATAACGGCCTAAAATAACGTACTGTATAAAAGCATAAAATGTGTGTATAAAGTATACAAATTTTGACAGTGATACGCGATTTTTTTTTATTCAGATACCCTAAAGGCCCCGAAGGGCATTGCATAGGGGGGGGGGGGGGGGGGAGAACAATGTGTTGAGTACATTTCAATTCAAGAGCAAACACAGTCAAGAGCGGGCATGTAACAAAAAACGGTAGAAAAGCAAACAAACAAACAAAAATAAATGGAAAAGAAATACAAAGCAAGCGCACATAGTACATGGTTCATGGCTCTGATAATAAAAAATCGCTTCAAGTGGCTTACAAACAATCGGGATGCATGAGTGTGGAATGAATTGCAAGTGACCATGACATCTACAAGTGAGCGATTGTAAATTACCACGAATGCCTCCTAGACACCTTTGAAACCAAAGGGTGAGAGGCAGGTGCTTCTCAGAGTAGTATACCGCAGCAACAACCTCTGCGGAGAGGTTGTGCTACGGATATCTCTTCTATATGATGCTGATACGCTTTGAAGTTCATTTGAAAGCGCAAATAATGACTGATACTTAAAAAGTGGTTCTTTGCCAATGAGAATCCCAGGACATAGTACGTAAGGCAGTTTTAGTAAGACGGCAGAGATTAGGGGAATCGATTTATTTATATGTGGGGTTTGACGTACCAAAACCACCATATGATTAAGAGAAACGCCGTATTGGGGGGTTCCTGAAATTTTGACCACCTGGAGTTCGTTAACGTGCACCCAAATCTGAGCACACGGGCCTACAACACTTCTGGCTCCATCGAAAATGCAACCGCCGCAGCTGGGATTGGATCCCGCGACCCGCGGGTCAGCAGCCGAGTACATAGCTACTAGATCACCACGTCGGGGCGGAGATTAGGGGAGGCCGGCCGTCGCAGTGGCGTAGCGAAGTCAAGAAAATGCGAAACACGCGAAAGACTAAAGAAATCGAACATCTAAGAGCAGAAAATACACACGTGTGCCCTTGCATTCCCGGCTAGCAGACGCATGTAAAGAGAGAAGACGTGTCGTATGTTTCTTCTGCGTCTGTTAGCCAATCCAGACAGCAGCGCCGTATATCGCAAACTACACATACAAAGTGCAAGAAATACTTATATAGCAAATAAGCAAGGATGGAGGACGGTCGTCGAAGTAGCCCAGTGACGTCGAAACAAACTAAAGCACGGGTCAAAAAACAAACATAAAATCATGCAAGAACAGACATCTGCTCTCGCATTCCTTCCTAGCGAACGAATTCGAGGCTGACAGACGTGTCGTCTACTCCTCTATTTGGCTGCTCCTCTAGACAGGAACGCTAAATTCGCAAAGATCAGAACAGAAGCGAAGCGAATTGCGAAAGTATGCTACTGCCTGGCGTGAGAAAATGGGGCTTGGGGGAGCTCAGCCGTCCAAA